AGAGAGAGAGAGAGAGAGAGAGGGAGAGAGAAAGAAAGAAAGATGGATGTATATTTCAATTAATTATCTAAAATATTTATTACTCCATTTTTTTTTTCTTTTTTCCTCTTTCTTAGGAAAAAAAAGTTGACAATTAGGTCTATACGAATTGCATATTAGAATTGATATTAAAACTTTAAAAATGCGCTTTTAAGGATATTAAAATATGACTAATTTTATATTTGATGACAAATGATAATTGAAAAATATTTGATTGCGGGGGAGGATCGTGGCTCATTTTCCTTTTTGTAAGATAGAAAGTTCAAATAATTTAATTAATAATTAAGTGTATGTAGAAGTAAATCAAGTATTTATCCAAGCTTTTTTAAATTTATACCTAACCAAGTTTAATTAGTTAAATTTATTTGTCTCACATATGAATATCCATTTAAATAAATCGAAAATACTTGCGAAAATTTGAACAATTATAAGTATGAATTAGTAGTTGAAATCTGTCACATTTTCTTTTTTTGTCATACCATTGGTATAGCTATGTCACATCTGTTTATTGCGACAATTTCAAGTCAGTCTTGATAACAAATGAATATGGAAATTTCATTTTATCATATGACTTAACCCTTTACTGGAAATAAAATAATTATGATAAGAGAGAGGGAGAGAAAGGGAAAGAGAGAGAGAGAGGGAGAGAGATTTTCTCATTAAAATGTGAATTCTTTTCATTTCATTCCTAAATTAAAATCATAAATAAAATTTCATATCAGGAGAAAATGATAATGACATGATGAAATATGATAATCACTTTTTATTCTTCTTTTTCCTATTTTTATCATTGAAAAAAGCCTAGTTTTTTTTTTTTTTTTGCAAACTTTCCTATTTATTCATAAATTCTTCTCTAAAAAAAAAGAAAAAAAAGAATAGGAAAAATAAGCCATTCTTTAAGGTATTTGTTTTATTGAAGCGATTCCTTTTTTCTTTTCTTTCTTTTTCTCAAATCATTAATCATTCCTTATCAGTGTTAATATCATCATCCGATTACAATTGATACATGGAATATTTTCATCTCATCAAATTTTTCATCTTTTATTTTCTTTTTCTTTTTTTTGTGTATTTTATTTTTGCAAACTTTTAGACGGAATAAGTGTTTCCATACCATTTCCGCCCATGTATTTCATACATTTGTTTTGTTTTGTTTTTTTTCCAACTGAAATAATTTGTTTCAATTGAAGTACATCAATGTAACAAAACCAATATTTGATTATTTCACATTTTATTTTCTTTTTTTTTTGATTGAATCATTCATGAAAATAAAATAAAAAATTACATTTTTTCTTTAAATTCTTTGCAGTTACTAAATTTTTTGTTTTGTATTAAAATAAATCGACAAATTTGTAATGTTTGATTTGATCTTGCACATAATGATAATGATTGAGAGGATGAGTCATCCTGAGATAGTTTACAAAAAAAAAAAAAAGCCGAAATGTGAAATGTCCGATTGTTTGTTTCATGACAGCAGGTAGTATGTGAAAAACAATTGCGCATTTGGTTTGCTTTACTTTCTTATTTGCAGATGGCATTTTTTCGTTTTCTTTTTGTTTGCAAAAGTTATTTTAATCTTAATAGCTATTATAATTAACTCTTTGGCTCATTTATTGCTTAGCCTATTGAAGTGTATTGAGAGGAAAGTTGGGAAAAGGGATGGGAAGGAAATGTGTAACAAAATTTGAGGAGATAAAGTTTAAAAATCATTTATAAACTGCCAATAAATTGTTACCTCATGGCTCTTTTTGTGCAACAGTTAGCTGATATCAAATGAGCGGAAATATCCGTGTCATTTTTCCATATGTTAATTAGGAGAAAAATGTTAGGTTTATGCCAAAAGGGAACACTGAAGTGAGAAGGAAGCCAGATATGTCTCCTCAAAAATTGTCTTATTAACCAGGTCCTCATTTTTTCTTTCTTTTTTTTGAAGTTAGCTAAGTTTCTAATTGGGATTCATTCCATCTTGCTAATCATTTCTCCATCATCATCTACACTGAAAACATCCCAACTCAGATAACATTTCTTCACATGTCCTTAAATTCATCTTTGGATCAGATTGAGTACCACACGAGATCAGATTCCTTATAGAAAACAAGCGACACTTTCACTTTTCACATAGATCAAAAGATGACACATTCGTAGCATTTTTGAAGCCTAGGAGTATCATCTTGTTTAACCCAAAATGTTAAATCAAAAAGGTGGACAAATAGATAATGATATGTACCCATAGTTACACTCTTCTTCATCGTCATCTTGGATGATATTCAAGAATTGAGAAAGATAAGATATCAGTTCAAACGGATGTCTTCCAAATACGAATTAACCTGCCCATTCACCTTCATCCATGACATGACATTCTCCTCTCCTCCCTTCTTATCACTATTTATCACTCTCGATGGATTCCGATCTTCGCAAAAAGTAGAGCATGATATGAAAGATAAGCTGCTTCTGAAATTTGCATCTCCTTAGTCTGAAATGGAATCTTCTTAGTCTTGATGGTAGGAAATTTGAACCAGCATAAGTAACGGGTAGTATAGATTCACAGGATTTACAAACGATAATGTTAGACGTATAATTACGTGGCTTAAAATAACTTAAAGTATTATTATCAAATAACAACATGATAGGGAAACATATATGTTGTTCACAATTTCATATCATTTCTAAGATATTTAAATTTCGAAACCAAAAATTAGATTTTAAGAAAATGGCTACAGACAATGATACTCACGCAATATTGAATACTCACGTATGTCGAACATTCACGTACGTCGAACATCTACGGATGTCTAATACTCACATCTGGTAAATACTCACTTATTTCGAACAACTTCCTCTCTTCCTTTCCTCTTAGTTCTTTTCACACTTCTTTTCTGACTCTCTCTTCAGTCTCTTCTAACTTACACCACTATTGCACTTTTTACTAAATCCACCTTCCCTCTCTGATTGTTTATGAACTGCATCGTTGTTTAGAACTATTTTTACGGACCGTGCACTTCTTGTTAAAATTAGACTCTATGCGCAAATTGTGAGTGAGTTGTACCTGTGCATTACTAGTTTGTTTGTGGTTTGCGGTGTCACATTGTTTTGAAACTTCTACATTTAGTTTGATTTTTAAACGTTAGATCAAAGTTCATAGTGTGAAATGTGCGTGTGACACGTGTACTTTTGTTGTTATGTGAAGTTCAATAGTGCCCATTATAAATGTATCAAAGAGTAATTCGCGTGTCTTCAAGATATTGCGTACTTCATAATTATATTGCTAAATAATTGTAATGGGATCAGCACATAGGTATCATTTCCAGGTTGGCGTTGCTTCTTTCTGGAGCATAAAAGGATGTTAACAGCGCGAACGCAGTCATGACAACAACATATTCAGTACATCCTCCGGGAGCAACAGCATCAAAAAGACTTCTGTCTCATCATCATCATCATCAACATAATCATCATTCCCATTCACCACATCAGCAACATCGACGTCACCAGGCGTCATCCCTCGATTCTATCCGCACTGCTGCCACGATCATATCACCCTCATCTTTGCAGCGTATTGTTAACGGTATTGACGGTACTGCTACTACCGCAACTCCACCTGCTGCTATCGGCATTATCCCACCACCACCACCTCCGTTTGACGCTATTGCTGCACCGAATCCTGCTATCGCTGCCCTGAACGGTACAATCTGTAGGCCATCATCATCGGATTGCGGTGGGTCATCATCCGGTCTTGGTGGTATGACCAAAACCGATATTATATCATCCGACGAATCATCACTGGCCAGGTTCTATTTCATCCTCTCTGCTCAAAAATTTATACATTCTTGATTGTTAGAGTGCTGGCAAGTTTGGTGGTATGTCGTTTGGTGGTATAGTTGGTGGTATGTCGTTAATTAAGTAAGCGATTCCGTGCGCTATTATGCACTCTTTTCTGCCTATTTATTCATTCAAATGTTTCGTAATAGTGGCAGTAGGAACAGTCTGCTAGGGTAAAAATGAAGAGAATCAAGTGTGATTTACAAAGAAAATGGGAATTTCTGCATTCTAAAGTTTCACTCCTTTCTAAAAGTCAAAAGTTTTTATTTGGTCCAGATGGTAACAATTATTTCCACCTTTTTATCCAGAATTACAAATACAATAATGCGTTTTCGTTGAACATCTATGAAGGATGTTTCACTGGATCATTAAAATTAAATTATCCACTCAAAACAAAACGGGATCAGCTCTGTGCTACAGTGAGAATTAGAAAAAATATCGTTAGCTTAGTGGACACAGATTTCGATTTCTTTTGTTTCCCTTTTGCATTCTACGGCAGAAGCTATATATTTTTGCCATCAAACTTCGAAATCCTGGGTATTGGACACCGGAATTGATCACCTAAAACTAATGAATATTTTGGCATCCGTGGCCATTTTTCTTAATTTGTTTATTCTAGAAGATATAAATAGAATTTCCTCATGATATTTACGATTTAAAAAATTCTAGAATCACCAGAAAGTTCTAGATAGCTGATTGGGAGATAGAGGTGTAAAGGAGTCCGTATTATGTTGATATTCCTTCTAATTTGCGATACTCCGCTGGACCAGATGAAATTCGTGGAAGGAATACGGAAGTATATTGTGACTAATTTTTCGTACTAATGTGCCATTCAACCCATGTCAAATCGTTGCACTTTTTATCGGTCAACATGAATGGCTGTCTCATCGGAATGGATCTGAAGCTTCAGTTTATTTGGAAAAACTTGTATTTTTTTTCTAAGTAGTTTTCAACTAAGTAGATTGAATTACTGCGATTCAAATATCGTATCAGATTACTCTCTTCTATATGCAACAGGTTCTGTTAAATTAATTCTACTGCTTAAACTCCACTGACTATAGCTGTTATGGATTCCATAAAATCCTTAGAATTTTGAGGACATCATCTAGTTCGGCTATTTTACTAGTTTGGAAGATGATGCTAAGCAGATAATGAGGTGGGAACAGAATGCAAGTTCAGTAATAATTTTGCAGGTATTTAATCTTCAAGATATGGGTGTGGATATTTGTAATTGAAACTATAATATAAAATTTAAATAGTTTGATATGATGTTCTACCAAGCCTCATTTCATGTTTCGTTTCATTGTGATTTATGACGCATAGTTTTTACGATCATTTTTTTTTCTTTCTTTGTAAGTTCTGTGACAGATAGAACTCCCAGAAGAAGGGTTACAACTCAGTTGAACCCCTAAACACCGTGCTATTAGAATTCGGTTATTTTTTCAATAATTTTTCTGTTTTTCCCTCTTTTCAAAATATCAAAAACAAAAACGTAAATTGGTTGAAAATTAACGCTTCAGCAATATTTTTGATGTTTGAACATTTTGGACTCTGTTGATAAACAAAAAGAATTATTATTACACGAAATCATCATGTTACTGTTTTGGTGTTTTGCACATGTAGAGTGGGAGTTTTGATTGTGGATCATTTAACGAGATCTATAGTTTCAATATTTTACTTATCAACTTAGTAAACAAAGTAAGTGTTTTTGAAGATTATTTGATCATTTGTGAACCATGTAAATTAATTAAAGTAAAATAATAAAAGAAAAATACTTTCGGGTCCACCATTCTATTAAATTACCGACAAAATTCATAAAGATTTTTGTGTCCATACGACTTTTTTTTATCTTCGCCCTTCCTCTGCTTTTCTCAAAGTTATTACAGCACTAACACATCAATGTCTTGGAGTAATGTTCGGAGACAACTACATTTAAAAGAATGAACAGGAGCCGAAACGATGCACACAAGTTATATATTACCTGAAATAGATTCAAACTTGTACACCGTTGTATTGAATAGAGAAATGATAGGAAAAAAAAAGGATTTGGGTTGGTATCGGAAATTGTTATTCTTGTAAGTCAGTTGAGTTTTTTAACGATAAATTATTTACAGTTTAAAATAATTGGAGAAATGTCGGGAAGAACCACATTTAAAAAGAATGTAAAAATGTTTTCTTTTTTTTTCTGATCATCATCAGCAGCAAATCTTTGGAATTTGCAAAACGTTTGAAATATTTTGTCTCAAGAAGAATATGAGTAATAAAAAAAGACCCATGATATGTCGAGCAGTTTTGTTAGCATTAACAGCGCAACACAAATGGGATAGAAAAGTAGCAGGAATTCTGTGCCTTTTATCATGTTCTTTAAAATTTTACTTCACTTTTGTTAGAGCTGTTATTATGGTAATTTTGCTAATGCTTAGCTTCCGGATCTGATGCCTAAATCTATTTTAAAATACATCATACAATCTTATATCGTGAAAGGTTTAATTTACTTTTCAACTTCGACCTACAACTATATTCCACATCTCCATTCCACAATTGCGCAACTTCATGGGTACTTTTTACAATAGCTAAACTGCAAATTACCATAAGGGGATTAGTTCTTTTCCTACGTTTTAATAATTTCGTTTTCACTTCTCCAGCATGTGACCCTGTTGGTGAAATAGGCATAAAATACAGTAAATGTAATTTTCAGAGGCGCATTTTAAGAGATGCGCTTGAAAGTGCGTTTGGATTAATAGTTAAGTATCCCTT